TTTGCAGTATTTCGTGCTGTAGTAAGATCACCTAAAATCACAGCAGCTAGAATTTGTGACGTACTGGCTCTTGAACTTTAAGCGGATCCACGCGGTTGAGCGGGGGGAGGGGGAGAGGGGTGAGCGATGGGTCCTCCGCCCTTCCTACATACCATCGTAAGAAGAGCGAAGGACCTATCATCGCCTCCAGGAGCCCCAGTTTCCAGCCGTCGCTGGTTGCTCCCTCTCCGCCAGGAGCTCGCTCTGGATCAGCCTATGTCTAGAACTTTAGAAAGTTAATTGTACAATTATAAAGTGGTATTTGAAGAAGGAATATTCTGTCAAAATTTCAGCTTTTCATATTTCCTAGTCCGCGAACTAACGATGTTTCCACCAAAAATTTTCACGAGGCCACACGTGTCGACTACACATGCTTGGGGGCTGAATTTGAAATCTTTGAGTTCTACGCGGATAAGGAACATTTTTTCAATATTTCAGCTTTCCAGTTTTTCTGGTTCCCATCTAGCGATTCCTCCCTTTTCTCTTCGCCCCTCAGAAACTTTCACGGGACCATATGTGAGTGCCATGCGTAAATGGGGCAGAATTTGAAGCTTTTAACTTGCACGTAAGCTAGAAATGTCCCCTCAAAATTTTAGCCTTCTAGCTTTCCTGGTTCCCGGGTTAGCGATTTTCCCGCCAAAACTTTCAGACGTTCGTACGTAGGACCCTTGGGGTGGCACTTAGCTGGAGAAACCATAGCAGAATTTTGGCGCCGGAGCTTGCTTGATTGTCGAATTGAAATATCCGAACAGTCAGACAGACATGTGTACACATGCACACACACCAGGGTCGTTACAACATGTGTTTTTGAATTTGCACATACGTAACAAAAACGCATAACCAATTACAACAATTTCTTTTATGCATCTTAAATACCAAGTCAGCTTGGACAGTTGGTGAGAAGATTCTATGTTACTATTGATTTTAAGGGATTCCTTCACATACCGGATTTTATTTTTTCGCAAGATCGCAGTACTACTAGTCTGGACAAACATTGAAGAGAAAACGAGTAAAATAGAGAGGATATATCACAGACCAAGTGGAGTTCTGTGAATGAAGCGTTGCTTGCGTGAAGGAAGTTCGAAAATTGACAAAAAAATTGTTGGGTTGACAAAAAATCACAACACTGACAAAAAACTGTTAGATTTTACACGAAATTTCTGCAAAGGCTTGGGTGAAAACGGGCAACTAGCATGATAAAATTTCAACGATTGGTACTGACACATTCGACTATTTTAAAGTGTTTGGTATATTTTTGGGTGTGGGTTGATTGCTGATGAACGAGGAACTTTGCTAATCAAGAGTTGAGCGAATTGTTGGAACGGAAGAAAATGATGTCGGAG